GACAACAGTTCCACATCACAACACCCCCCACCCACCCCACTCGGATCACAGTCTTTTGTTGTCTACTGCTAGTTCAGTTACATCGGACACCACCTGAGTATGTTCCAGCAGGATATCTTCCTGAGGAGGTATGCTAAGTGGCAGGGTTTAAGCCAGCTGGTGTAGAAATACATCTGAACACCCCTTTGGTCCCCACAAAACAAGCATACATATTTCTTATTTTTTGGATGAAAAGGCAGAGAAAATAAAATGCAAAGCACACATGTACCCTCTCATACCTGCATGCCCATTTCCTCACTCTTCTCTGCACCCTGCCTCTTTCAGGGGAACCACTTTGTTGTTAATCCTAGGATGGGCTTTTGTGATTGAAGCAGCACATTTTTTATAGGCAAACCATGATTCTCTTGTGTAGTCTCTTGAAGCACCCGATGTGGAAAAAAAAAAACAGATCCCCAGATTTCTCACATTTAGGAATAACCGGTGGACCTGAAAAGACAGGACCTCTGCTCAGGTGGCCCTTCGCCAAACCCCATCTTCAGAGGAATTCTAGGTCTAGGCATTGAAAGGAATGAACTGTGTCACTCTGGACAGTGACAGGCAGGGGATGAGAGAGGGCCACACACTGTTTACCTCCCTGCTACAGATGGTTGTGATGATGCAGATGAGACTGTTTGACTTAGCAACTGGGACCTCCTGTCCTGCAGACAGAGATCATGGCCGGAAAGGTGGACACATGCACCAGGACTTGTAAGGGAGGAGGGAGAGGATAGAAAGCCATAGGTTGAGAAGGACAGGAGTCCAACATAAACCAGCCCATCCCTTCCTGAGGCCCTGACACTGAACAGAGACTTCCTGAAGGAAGATGTGGGAACACAGATGAATCGCCCACACAGAGAGTCTCAGGGGACAAAGTGCTCAGAGGGAGAGCACAGCAGAGAGAGTGCACAGGAGACATCATTATAGGCTGTCCTCATGTTCCTGGATAATGAAGGCCCACACTAGGGTTAGGCAATGGCCATTCAGAAAAGACAAGGTAACTGAAGATGGAACCCGAGAACACTAAATTTCCAAGCTAGTGAATGATCACGAGGCCTTTGCTGGGGAGAGAAACAGCTGGTGTAGATCCAGGTGCCCTGTCCGGTGCAGGCTCTAGACATCAGGGAAGTCCAGCTACTCACTGCACTGTTTTAGTGGGATTCCCTGTTTGACCACAATAAACCTTCCCTGTAGAAAAGGAGGCTGGGATCTACAAGTTAACACCAACTGGGAGCATGTAAGTGAAGTGGTTGGTGAGCAGCTGTGCAAAGTGACAATGAGTGTGAGAGAGTCCACACCCCCTGATGTTCAAAGAATGAAGAGGAACAGGACCACCCAGAGGGATCTGAATGGACTCTGCGTGAGACATCCACCCAGGGATCCCTCACTCCCCATCAGTACACCAGGGGTTTATTCATTCCTACAACTAATGCCAGTTTAGACTGGGGCACATATAACATGGGGAATGGAGGTGAGAAAGCCTCATGGCACCTTCCCACATTCCTCACCTGGTCTTCCATTTCAGATCTAGACATTGTCCTCTCTGACGTAGAACTGTCCAGGTTTGAGGTTGGAAACTCATGGTTTCAAATCCATGACGTAGGTTTTGACAGCAGGAGCTTCAGACACAGCAACAATTACAGCAAGAAGGTAGAGAGTCCCAGGCCCGGGCCCTCACGGACACAGCAAGACTTTGTGTTCAGACTGCCCAGCCACCAACACGGAAGGACCTAGGTGCACAGTTGACTGCGGCTTCAGCCTGGGACGTCTCCATCAGGGACGCCTCATGATGCTTGACTGCTTTGCTGTTTCTGGTGACATCCACAAAGAAGACAGTGACAGCAGGTCAGAGCAGAGAGGATTTGTGATGCATCCCACCTGCCCCACTCAGGGACTTCTTTTCGGAGTAGAAAGAGAAAATCCTGGACAGTGACGGGTCTCCTCAAGGTGACTGAGGGTCTGGTTGGAACAGAAAACAGCATCAGGGGCTGAGGGATCACCCAGGTCCAGGAGGGCTGCCTGGTGACGTTTTACCTGGAATGATCACTGACTCTGAAACTCCTACAGGTATATGTGAAGAATGGTGGGGTCCCACAGAAGGAACATGGCCTCTTAATACTGGGGGTCCACACAGTTACCCTCTCAGAATGACGTCGGGCTCTTATCCCACTATTCTGTCCCCTCACCTGCCTTTTCCATCACCAGCAAAAGAGCAGCACGTACTACAGTTCTTTGTTCCTGTTGGAACTGCCAACACTCCCAGGGCCTGAGAGCCAGGAGAGATTCCAGAACACCATTTCATCAAAAGTTCAATGGCAAGAAATTTGTTTTCAGTGCCCATAAGCACTTCACTATGACAGAGAGACATGAGATGCGGCCATCCAGGCTGGCAGGATGCCACATGGCTTCTCTCAAGGCCCTCTGTCTCATCCATTGTATCCTCCCGGGGTCTGCCCAGCTGTGACCTTCACACAAGACAGTCTCCTCCAACTCCCTGTCCTTCCATGCACGTTCTGATGTCCGTGACTCTGTTTACCTGTTTTCATGTGGACTTACCTCAGCACCTTTGTCTTCCTGGTTGTCCTGGACTCTGCCAGAGTGCCAGATCCCTGTGGTCGGCGTGGCCACCAGATTACTGATCCTGGGATCCAGCCCCTACTGAGGGCCTGGCACACGACCGTGTCCATCGAGTGTCAACTGACAAAAGAACAGCTCAGATCATTGCACAAAGGCAGCCCAGAAGCTGGGCTCAAACCTCAGACCCAGTCTTCTCTCTCATTCCTTGTAGGTAAGAATGGGGTCAGGTCTGTAGAGGAAGAACTGCTCCCATGATGCTACAGGGAGACTGGAGCAGGCACATGCCAGGAAGTGAGGAACAGGCTGCATGGCTAGAGCTGTAAGCCTAGCTCTGTCAGACATCCCACACCTGGAACAAAATCCCAAGAGATGCAGTGACCCAGGTCACAGGGCCACGCTCTGACAAATCTGGAGAGACCCTGCTTCAGGTTCTTCACATCTAGAAGACTCAGAATGAAGGCTGAAGGAGATTCGGGGAGAAATTGTTGCCTTCTCTATGGCAGAGCTTCGGTACAAGGACAGTAGTAGAGAAAGCAGGTCTGAAGAGGGCATCGGTGGTTTCTCTGTCTAGTTCCCAGATACAGCTGGGCCTCACAATGTCTTCCCATCCCACTTCGTACTGTCACAGTCCTTCTTGTCTTAGTGTCTCCATAGTGACAGTAGCACCCGGTAAGGGCATGCTGGCTGTCTTTATATGGGGACAGCTGAATCAGCCCATTGGCTTGACGGGCAGAACAGCCTTGTCAACAGGATCACATATTGGCACAAGGGCTTCTGCATTAGATGGTGACAAAGCCCCAGCTCAGCCCAGCCTACAGCTGGCACAGGACCATCCAGAGACTGCACACATCCTAAATGTCCATACAGACATGGAAGGACAGAGAGGTTCAGATCCCCATCCTAACTGTGTTCTCCAAAATCTGGAGTAGGGTTCTACTGTGACTGTCAGAAGGAAATGTCTTCTGGGTGATTGGACATAGAATACATAGAGGAAGGGAGGGGAAAGGGGGCCAGCTTTAGTGTACCATGAGAATGAGTTTATTTTCTTCTTGGCATGTAGGGCTTGAAGACATCCTCAGTGCTTCTTGCCTGATCATCAGATGCTTTGTATGGCTCTCCCAGTATCCTCTGCGCTTGAGAATGGAGTTAGTTCCCTATGGAGACTCCTGTGACACTGCAATCACAATGACTTCTTGGGTTGCCCAGTGTTCCATGGACTGGACATGCAGCAGGAGATATTAAGCATCCAGACTTTCATCGTCAGATGCTTGTGACCAGACCTGGCTGATGCCCCACACTGTGCTATCAGAATGCAGGTCAGAACTCAGTACTTCTTGTCTGTCCATCTGAACTGCAGGGAGATCTCCAGATGGCCCCTTAGAGCCTTGACCTTTGTCCCCCTGCCAGGAAGCAGATCATCACATTAGATTCCATCAGGACATTTGTTCCCTATGCACAATGGCCTCACATCCCTTTTCCATCCCTTGCTTAGGTGAGAGAATTGACCTTGTTTTTCCAGTCACGTCTTGTTCTAGTCAGGCATGACCCTCAGCAACAAGGAACCACCTGCCTTTGAAGTCAGAGACCCCACAATTGAGAACAAAATGCCCAGGAAATGCAAGGATCTAGGTCACATGGCTGCCGTGAAAAAAATCAGTAGAGTCCCTTCTCCAGGCTCCTCAGATATGAAAGACTGAGGATTGGAAATTGATGGATGTTTTGTAATCAACCACTGTCCTTTGAGGGCATTCTCCTGGAATGCCACAGTGGAGAGTTCTGTGACACTGCAGACATCTCTTCTAGACTGGGTGCTCAGGGTATGCAGGAACTGGGGTCCAGCTCAGCCTCCCACAGTTGGCCTCTTCAGTGTGACATCAGGCCTCACAGGACTTGACACACTCTGCCTGTCCAGTTGAACTGTAGGGAGACATTGAAGTGGCCTTTGACCATAGTCACTCTGCCAGGCCCTAGATCCCCAAGCAGAGTCTTGTATATGAACATCTGTTCCCTGTGGACAACAGCTCCACATCACAACACCCCCCAACCATCCCACTCCGATCACAGTCTTTTGTTGTCTACTGCTAGTTCAGTTACATGGGACACCACCTGAGTATGTTCCAGTAGGATTTCTTCCTGAGGAGGTATGCTAAGTGGCAGGGTTTAATCCAGCTGGTGTAGAAAAACATCTGAACATCCCATGGACCCCACAAAACAAATATATACCTTTCTGATATTTCGATGAAAAGGCAGAGAAAATAAAATGCAAAGCACTTATGCACTTTCAAACCTGCATGCCCAATTCCTTGGGCTTTTCATCCTGTCTCTTTCAGGGGAGCCACTTTGTTGTTGAACATGGGCTCGACTTGTGTCTTTCGATCCCCTGAGAATCAGCATAATCTTGAGAGGCAAGCCCTGATTCTCCTGCACAGTCTCTGGAAGCACCGGATGTTCTGAGGGTTCAGTTCATTTTCCATGTCAGAGTCAGTCCCAGGGGATGGGAGGGTTTCCTCTTCTGATATGCTGCTGCAGACACTTGGAGAAGTCTCGCCTCTGGATGGGGTGGCAGAGCTAATAGTGGGGCTCTTGTTCTGGGGACAATGTACAGGCATGGAGGCACTTCTTGCCACCTTCTGTGCTGGTGCTGTTGGTACAACAGGCAGGTGCTGTTGTGAGGGCTGCGTGTGGAGGCCAAAGATGGGCTCACTGGCCCTCCGTTTTTGGGGAAGACCAGAGACAGAGGGATATGCTAGGGACGCAGGAGGAGCAGCTCCAGCATCCACAGGCTTGACTGAGGTGGTGCAGCCGAGCGCAAGCGGCAGCCCCTTGCGTGCCTGTTCTCTGACAATGAGGTATGTCCCCATAAATTGATCATATTTGTTTTTTTGGAGGGATTCCAAAACAGCATTTTTATTGAAGCCAAGGTCAGAGAGTGTGTCTAGGACCTTTGGATCTACAAAGGTTTCACTCGGGATATTTTCTTTATACTTTATTATCCATGGATGTTGCTGAAGGACTTCAATGGAGGGCCTCCTCTCTGGGGCAACTGTCAACATTAGATGAATTAAATTTTCCAGTTGCCCAGAGACGTGAGCTGGAATGTCATACTTGCCTGTGACGATCTTCCCCTGGATCTCTTCCATGGTGTCTCCTTGGAAGGGGTGGTTCCCGGTAGTGATGAAGTAGAGCAGCACACCCAGACTCCACACATCCGTCTTCTTCCCATCATAGCCCAATCCCAGTACCTGTTCTGGGGCATTGAAGGTCTTGGTCCCACATTGCCTTTGCAGTAGAGTTCCTGCTCTATACTTGGTGGCGAGACCAAAGTCTGCCAGCTTCACGTTTCCCTCTTCGTCTAGGAGGATATTTTCGGGCTTCAGGTCTCGATGGACGATGTCAAGGTCATGGCAATACTTGATGGCTGACAGGATCTGCCCGAATATTTTCTGTGCCTCTTCCTCCTGCAGCCTGCCCTCCTCCATCACTCTTTGGAACAAGTCTCCTCCTGGGGCAAACTCTGTGATGAAGCAGACTTGCTCTGGTGTTACCAGCACCTGGAAGAGGCGAATGATGTTGGGGTGGTGCAGTTTATCGAGAGCCACCATCTCAGATAAGATGAACCGGAGGTCCTCCTCAAGGTTTTCTATCACTTTTACTGCCACCGGGATGCCTGTGAGGCGATGGTAGGCCAGTTGAACAGAGCCAAATGCACCGTGGCCGATGGGATATAGGACCATATATTGGCTGTTCAGGCTGTTCGTGTTGGGGTGGCTGTCCATGAGGCTAGGTGGTCACTGTGCTCCTGTGCAGACAGGTGGTGGCGAAGTCTCAGCTCAACAACTAACCAGATAGCTAGGAGAGTCCCACAGGTCACCTAAATCAGCTCCCTGGTCTGTAGGGACAGAGCTGCAGCCCAGCCCACAGCCTTATATACAGGACCCTCATACCTCACAGTTGCTCCTTGTGAGGTCAGAGTGAGAAATGGACCAATCACAGCAGGCTATCTATAGCCTACAGTGGCTGTCTGCATGCTGTGCCCCAGGTACCTTTCCCCTTCTCATCAAAATGAGGTTAGTCTCCACCAGCTTCTGCTTCAGTGGATCAGACAGACAGATGGATATTTACTCATCTACAAATTACAGCCAGCACATTACAGCCAGCACAGTCTTCAGTGGCCTTTGTCATTGGCTTCTGTGTACTTCAAACCATTTCTGGCTTTTTGAGGATGAGGTACCTTTTGAACAGGTCTCCTGTAGAGAATCAAAGTCATTAGGGATTTGTCAAAGCCATGTTTACAGTCTTCTGTTCTTGGGACCAGCAGGATTAAAGGCAGGAAGATCCATGGCATGCATGGGGAGTGCTTGGCCACTCTCTAGCATGAACCTGTTAGTCCCAGTCCTGGCCCAGGGGTTTGCTTCCAGTGTTGACTAAAAGCCACTTTAAATATGAACTCCCAGAAAGTAGGAGGAGACCCACTGGGGTCTCTGTGTATGGGTTTACTCTCTTGCTGAGGAGATAGTGCTGGTTGGGAGTGGGGAAGGGCTCTAGACTCCTGTCATGCCTGTTCACCTCAAGGAGTCCTGGGGAACTGCTGTGTTGATTGGGCTCCTTATAGATAGGAGATCTGACTTTCTCCCCTGTGATCCTGGGTGCTGATTGGCCTTAGGACCTTTGTCCAGGACAACTTCTAGAGCATGGTTGCAGCCTCCTCTCTCCAGTCATTCCTATCTCACAGTTCCTGAGATTCACTCCATTTTGGGGAGAGGATCTTGTCTCTCAACCAAAGGTCAAGCTCTTTTGTCTTCGAGACAAACATAAACTAGCTCATAAGGACCGGGGGGAACTGAGTGACCAAAGTAAAATGGCCACTCTGTCCTGACCCTTCTTCCCGATCCTGCTCATCTTCTCCATCACAGGCCGCACCTCCTCTGAAAGTAATGGACTAGGGCACTTTTTGGTTTCTTCATGGGTGGTGGGACCACCGTCCAGCTGCCTGCTGTTCCACACCATGACCAAAAAAATCTTAGGAAGAAAGGATTTCTTTAGCATGCATGTTCCAGTCAAAGCCCATCACTGAGGATAGTCAGGGTAAGAACTCAAGCAGGAGCAGAGAGAAGAACCATGGGGGAAAGTTACAGGCTTGTTCTGCATGAATTGCCCAGCTTGCTTTCTCATAACACTCAGAACCACTGCCCAGGGCTGACATTGCCCACAGTGGGCCAGAATGGCCTCATTAGTGTTTAAGAAAGTGCCATACATTTGTAAACCTCAGCTCTTCCCTATGATCCCTTCATGTCTTGAAAACCATTATCTACTGATTATATGAGTAAATCTTAAATTACACAGTTTAGCTGCCAGAACAAGGTATAATCTTGTGTATAAAAGTATTGAGGTACAACTTTAATATTTATAAAATACCTTATTTATTAAACATATATAGCCATCTATTTAAATTCTCTAGAAGCTTACTCTTGAACACTTAGCAAAAACATAAGTACTCAGGTGTAAGTCTCTAAGTTAGCTTTTTGTTAACTTGAATAGAGCTTTATAACCTTTAGTAAAATATGGTTGCAAGCCACATGGCTGGCTGCCTATGAGGTCACCAGACAAGATGGACCAAAGCCACATGCTTGCTGTTTAAGACATGTTTTTCTAAACAATAATTACTTGCACACATATGCACAGTTGGGTCCAAGTTACATACACATCAGTACAGTTAAAGCTAGCTTACATTCACACATACAGTTAAATCCAAGTCACATACATTTACATACACACACAAACACAAAACACACACACACACACACACACACACACACACACACACACACATATATATATATATCCATTTTTAACATAAAGAGTTTAGAGAATCATCAGCTAATTTTAAAATGGAAACTAACCATAATTAACTTTTAAATTCAGTATTTACAGGTATAAGAAACCACAACAAACATAGTTGGCATTCCCTGTGATCTTCTACAACCTTCCATATTCACAGCATACCCCCTCGGACCTTCTATAACCTCCCATGTTCCCTCAGTCCATTTAGGCATTTACTTCAGACAAATTACTCTCTTCCTTTTTTAAACATGGAAACTCTTACCAAGTCTTTCTTGTGATTTCCCTCAGTAGTTTAGTATATAATGTAAAGCTGCAATATTTTAAAAAAGAACAGAAATACATGCATATACCATAACAAGTATAACTCTGTTTGCATCAACATTGTACCAATGTGAAGCGTCTGTAACTAGCAGTAGTTTTTTTAATCAATAATACTTTATAACCAACCCTTTTAAATGATGACAAATATTTATAACCGATTGAATCTGAATGCTGCAGCATTATAACACGGTGCACTGTAGCTTAACAACCATAGGCAGTGATGCTCCACTCTGTCCTAGAAGCCAATCCTCCCTTAGGTTTGGTGGGCAGGCCCCAGGGCTGGTCATGTGAGCCTCAGCCATCAGCATGGGAGAGGAAGGGGATAGCACACAACACGGGACCAAAGATTGTTATTAAACCCAGATTCTCAAGTACACTAGAGAGGCTGACTCAAAGTGACTCCATGCCCCAGCTGGGCCCTCTGGACCTGAAGGCCACTCCTCGAGTGTGACCCTGGAGGGGCAGTTCTCCAACAGCCCCCTCCAGGCTCAGGCATGCTCTGAGCTCCTTGAGGCCCCTGCTGACTCCCGCCTGTGCTGCACCACAAAGTCTCTACCCTGAGGCTCCCTGCACAGGCGCTGGCCTCGAACCTGCCCTGTGTCCCTGTCACAGTGCCCATGGCATGCCCAGCACCGGGCACTACTAGTCCCCACAGCTGCTGCTCATGCTGCACTGCACCATGACAATGAACCACTGCCTGGGCCAGTCCACTGCCAGCCAGAGAACAAGGAGACAATGGGGTAGGATCATTCTTAGTCTGTCCCAGCCCTATCAAAGGGTCCCTCCTTCTCTCGCTGGCAATTTGTTCCCAAAGGCTGTCCATGCACAGCTTCCATCAGGAGTCATAACACACATACAAGCTCAGACATAAAACATGCATACCTGTGGCCACTTTCTTACACATTCACACATTTGTATAGGTAGGACATTCCAACACAAAGGCAAACAAAACTTTTAAGACAACAGAACAGCTCTCCTGGCACCTGAAGACAAAAACAAACACTAAAAGACACCAGCTTCATGCCGGTCCCATGGGAGAGACCCATGTCGTCTATACAAATCTAATGCCTGCAGGTAATTATAAAGTTTGGGCACTTACAAAAGGATATCCAAATGGCCCAGAGGCCCACTTCTAAAAGCATATTCCAAAAGCTCATTTACAAAAGGATATCCAAAAGGAACCAAAGGAAAGTAAACACAGACAACACCAAAGTAGACACAGGTAAACACAGACACACAGAAAACACACAGGCCAGGTTCAGGCTCTATGTGTGGTAGTCGGTGGGCTTGAGGAATATGGGACAAGCCCCCAAATATTATGCCCAGATTGCAGCGATCCCCAAAAGACCACCACAAAGACTGAATCTTGCATGTAAAAGCAAAGAGTCTTTATTTTCAAGCTCAGGGGCTTGGTCTGTGTCCTACACAGCAGAGAGGGCAGAGAGCCCTAAGCCCAGTTGTTGGTTAAGAGGTGGTGCTCATGGCTCTCCACTGCCTGCGGTGGCCATGCTGACGGATGTTGAGGTGGAAAAGAATTACAAGCCATGGTTACTTTTCTAGAGCTCTATTGAGACAGAGAGAGAGAGAGAGAGAGAGAGAGAGAGAGAGAGAGAGAGAGAGAGAGACCGTGCAGAGGGGAAAGAATACAGAAGGACAGAGTGCGGAAAGGGAGGGCACTCCCACTTTTTAGGCTGGGACGCCTTAGCAGGCTGGTGACGAAATTAAGGACATAATCCTTACATCCCAGATTTTGCTTATTATAAAAAAAAAAGCAGGTAGATGGGAATAGGGGCATCGTTTCTCTCAAAAGCTGCTTCCAGCTGACTCTTGCATGTCCATTGGCTCTTGGGGGAATGGGGAAGGGGAACCTTCCGAGGTAGACAGGCATTGTGGGATACTGTCTGCCCTTTGTTGTTCTGGAGACATGTATCCCTCTTAGCTGTTGCTGGGAATCTTCTGTCTGACAAGATGCTGGTGACACAGAAAAAAGCTGAGAAAGAAAAGAATCATTATTATTTTATGTTGACATTTATCTGAGGTAGATCCAGCCTGTCCAGATGGATTTTGAAACATGTTAAGCTTTATCAGAGACTGATTAATTTGAAGCACCTGTTTCCTTTACTAGTTCATCATCCAGGAGACAGGTGATCAATTTTTAAAAGCATCTCACAATAATAGATGTTTGCATTAAAGTCTTTTTTGTAGTACCCAGACACTTTTGGGTCTGGGGGTGTAAATACCTTTTAGCTGTTACAGTTTCTTACTTGATGATCTCTGGACTCCGGTTCTGTGGTGGTCCTGTATCATTAACTGAACAGTGAGTTAGACCAGGGAACTGGGAAGAGAAAAGCTTGTGGTGCCTGAGAACTCATTTTTTTGAATTAGGGACATGGCAAAGTTCAGGGCCCTGTTCTGTGCATGTGAGAAACACAGGCAGTAGATCTGGAGAGAGACAATGAGCTCTTATCTTAGCTGGAAATCTTTTTCTATTCAGTAACTCTGAAAGTGCAATTAAATCTGGTGAGGTAGGTAAGCCTGTCCTCTGTACCCAACAATAGAGGCGAGGTGGCATTCCAAAACTCCCAGGACTGAGTCAGTGGTTTTGGTGTCCAAA